AAGGCAAGAGAGCAACAATTTTTCTGAGAGGCGCTCTTGCTGAAGGTGAACCTAAGTTGGGCTGAAAAGCTGGGCATGGATTCCGCACATGTCTAGCAGACGGGCAGCGTTGAAACCCGTCCAACCGTCACAGAAATGCTTCCAGAGCAGCCAGAGCCGCAAGATCTCGGCCTTCGTACTTGCCAGGACAGGGTATCATCCAAATGAGCCATTGGTGAAAGTCTCCATGTTGGCGAAGCTAATGCGATTTCTGTCGATGTCTTGGTGGTTGCAGGTACTGTACCCTCCGACCTTGTACATTTGGACGGACTAGCTAGTCAGACTGTAGTTAGCCAAGGTAGTTAAAGTTGGTAATAGTTGGTTACCATAGATTTGCCAGCAGAATGCTAGATTCGGCTAGTGATGACAATCATGGTTAGTGTACCTGACAGGTAGTTTGTAATCGATTTCGGGCTTGTCTGCAGTACATTATCAATCAATCAGTTTTGATTTCATCTACACTCTTTTCAGATACATATGACCTCGTCCCCAGAAATCCTGTTGAAAATTTGGTCGACTTGCAATCCAGATACATGATCTTGTCCCCAGAGTGATGTTGGAGATGCCAGACTTGCAATCCATGCAACGATTGCTAGCATAAGAGATCATGCGATACCTACCAATTGCAATTACAATCGTAAATAGCTGCATGAATCAGGATCAGTGATCCAATGTGAACAATTGTCAATACACATCAATTGCAATTGCAATATCAAATATAGCTGCCTGAATCATGATTCCCTGATCCAATGTGATCACTTATGAATAATGTGGCCTAGGCGCTGTAATATGGCAGCTACACATCCAGTCGTTACCATGCAGACAAGACTGTTACCATTCACAGCCTTGTCATTACTGTGCTGTACTGCACTGTTACCATTCGGAACGAATTTGAACCGAGCAGATTCGTCACGGTGGTCGATTTTAGAATTGCGATCACTTCTAAAACCGGTCGCGCGAGTCGGAGTGCCCGGGGAAGTCCGATGAAATTCGCGAATTCCGAGTTTTGTCGCGCGCCGGACGCCGCAAGTTTTCGTTACGGACAGCGTCCGGGCTGGTTGTGCTTGCCAGAACAGATGCAGATCATTCGACAGATACAATATTAAACTACTGATTCACAACTCGGATCATTGCCGCACTGCACACTGGCCGCACTAAATGGATGAAACGTGCCTCATGACCTGCTGCCGTGTAACAGTATACCTGTTCAACAAAACAAGATTGGCTGACATTCATCCGGATGTTGAATTAATTGGATGCGGGACATGCAAATCCCTAGCATAATCTCACATAGTTTATTGCAGACCGTACATATATGTAGCTTGTCGATCAGTGTTATCATCTTGGTATCGCCCTAGCAAGCATCGATACACCGGAACGGCATGGCATACATGGCATGGCAGAAAATTGTTTGCCATGCGATCGTAGTTGAGAAACCGTAACGTGGTCGTAAAACAGAGCTGAGTCAGTAAACACGCCTTAAAAAAGAATCAATTGGCACGGACAAGCCGCTGAGCAGAACTTGTAGACTGTCAGAATCAGATTCAAGTGGAGGTAAGGGCCGGCCCGGCGGCGCACAAATGGCAAGCGATTCGTAGCCATTTTCTTTTCTGCGCGCTTTGAAGAACCCTCTAACCGGTCGTGTTAGTCGGGGTTGAGACTAAACCCCTAGGAATGAAAGACACGTCGTACGGCAGATAGTAGTACACTTCGAAGACGCCACCAACCTCGTCGTGATACATCACGCCTGCATCCCAAACGACTAGTCTCATTAGCTCCATGTGAAAAGAGTGTTTTGATTCAAAAGGTGCCCAACGCCGAAACGTCCCCAACATACCGTCAAGGAGTATTAAATCCAGGTTGAGATACAGGGCTCCAAATTGAAGCTAGCCTATTCCTTGGCCTTCATTAGGAATCCCACAATTTTGCAAAATCTTCAGTAAATAAGGTGGAAATGCCTACCTTGAGACCCGAAGTATTTGCCGGCGCCCCCGGTGATGGTGAGCGTCTCCTGGAAGATGGTGTCGCCCGCCCGGGACGAAGCAATCATCTGACACGTGATGACGTCAGCTTCGATGGAGTTGGGCGTGGTGACGGGGCCGATCAGGCCGGCGTCGAACGCGAAGATGGAGTAGCAGATGTAGACGGACTGAGGCACACGGCAAAAGAGGTCGTTAGCAGCGGAGAAACACTCCCAGACAAACGCGCTGGCAATAGGACTATTCGTGCGAATAAAGTGGTTCACCTAGTAAAGTTTGTGCAAATCGACTATGAAAAGACGGAGTGGCAGAGTAGACGGACTGAGGCACACAGCAAAAGAGGTCGTTAGCAGCGAAGAAACACTCCCAGACAAACGCGCTGGCAATAGGACTATTCGTGCGAGTAAAGTGGTTCACCTAGTAAAGTTTGTGCAGATCGACTATGAAAAGACGGAGTGGCAGAGTAGACGGACTGAGGCACACAGCAAAAGAGGTCGTCAGCAGCCCGTCAGCAGCATGCAAGGACAGTAACTCTAGACAAACTCGCTGGCAACACGATCGATACATCTATCCATCTTGACAATTGTTGTCATCTACAAGATTTCGTGCGGAACGATTTTGAAAAGATGAAATAGCAAATGCAAACGGACTCCGTGAGGCATGCACCGCAAACGAGGCAGTTGGCAGCGGAGAAACATTCCGAGATAAACTCGCTGGCAATAGGATTATTCGTGCTGGTGAGAGCGGTTCTCCTAGCAACGTTTGTGCAGATCGACTTTGAAAAGACGGAGTAGCAGATGTAGACGGACTGAGGCACACAGCAGAAGAAGCCGTCAGTAGCAGGGACAGATCTTTATCCAAACTTGCTTGCAATCAAGTCAAGGATTCCGTTCGTTCTGGTGAATGATGGCGTTGTCGTGCACAGGAGTCATTGTCCCAGATCAGCGGTTTCAGGAAGGTGATCGGGAATGGTGTCGTTGGTTCGTAAAATGGATTCGGGAGCTCGCACAGGATGTGCAGGTCCCGCAGAGTGTCTCACTACGAAAAATCTCGTGCTGGGGACCTCAAGGTTCCATGGAGTATCTCTTTAGAACAATTTGTATGACGTAGTCACGGCGCGTTGGTTGAGAAAAATGGATGTGACAGGACTATAGTCCCCAGATGGTTTACATATTTCAAGGAATAGTTCTTTCGTCACTCCTGATCTTCCACGATTGCAGAATACTAGCACCATCTTGTCATTGCCGCTGCGGCGCTGATGGCGTCAACATCGACGTGCTGCTGACATCTGTGTTTGACAGGACGTTCGAAGTTGAGGAAACAGAGCTCCACACTTGACTGTGATCTAGATGTGCAGCCCACAACCTGGACGTTTGCAGCCCTCAACTTATGGCCGTAAAAGCGGTTGGTATAAATGTTAATCTAGCTGGCCACTCGGCTGAAAGGAGCGATTCTCAGCCGTTAGGAGCGACATACACAGCCAATCAGAGCAGCAGAATTCTGTAGACGTCAACATTGTAACGATTACGACTGGTT